AAAATTAAGATATTAAAACCAAAATTTTCTAATGTAATATTTTATTTTTACATATTTTTTAAATAGTGTTACAGTAGGATACTGTTCAATAAAAGCATTTGCCAAAAGGTTTTTAAAGTAAGGCTTGTATACTTTTTATAAGAATTCTGATTCTCAAAGTAACCCATTCACTTCACCCATTCACTTCAATAATGTACCAAGGAAATTTAATAAAACTTTAATGTTATGTATTATTTTATTAGTGCATAACAATAGAAGTTAGGTAAAGAAATAGTAAAATAAAATTTGATATCACTACGCTGCGTATATTTTTCAGAAACGACTATAGTACTATTGTACATATGTGTAGTTAAATAAACAGTATTTTTTCAGGGATAAGTTTAACGCACTGGCAGCTTAAAAAATATTTACTTCCAGGTTTCAATTTTATAAAAATAAATTTTGACTAAATTTGGGTTTTTGAAAAGGTAAGTTTCGAATCAGGGTTTCGGATTTTTAGTTTTGTCAAAACTGTTAAAAGTTTCGGTCACATGTATATTATATATGTAAGGTAGTAACACATAGTAATCTCTGGACACCTACGTATCAATTCACATGGACATCTATCAATTTGGGTAATTTTAAAACTTATCACGTGATATTGTACCTACTCTAAAGTGATTGGTAGGTGTCCAGAGATGCAAAAGTTTTAATTTTGATATCTCTGAGATTATTTTTTTGATATACTCAAATTACCTCCTGAATTTAAGTGGTGTTCTTGATGCATTTTAGTAAATCTAGGATCTGCACAAATTTTATTGATCATAAATATTACACAAAACTATTACACAATAGATAGAAAATTTAGAATTGAATTGACTACCAAGCGAAAATGGAACTTTGGGCTTTTAATTATATTTTTTAACAGACATAATTCCTAATAAATTAGATAGATTGTGCCCAATACAAAATATAATTGAAAGCCTGAAGTTTCATTTTCACTTGGCAGAGCTATATATATTTGATAATTGATATTGCTTTTTATTTATTTACTATTTATTTTTTACAGTGTAAAAGCCAAATCAAATTTAATACTATAAATTAAGCATTAATTTACATATTATAATATTTTAGCATATTATTAATTAAAGCATTAAAAGTAGTAATCATTAAATTTATCTTGTTTCATAGCTATATATCTAATGATTATGAATATTTAAAACATGCTGGCATGCTGCATTAAATTTTTCAATAAGTTCTTAAGATTCATCCCCTATAAATTGATTAGCTTCACTTATATGTTTTATAGCATTAGACGTAACAAATTGTTGTAATGTGTCAACAGATAGTTGAGTAATAGTTTCTGGAGCTTCAGAAGATGTCTTTGATCTTTTAGGGATGTTTTCTTTTTGCTTGCTCTAAATCTAAAAAAAATTCTTAGAATTTTTAATATAAACTTAAAAAAAAAATAATTAGTAATAATTACCTTATATTCACGTTTAGCTTTTCTGATATTCATCGTTTTTCTTTTTTGTTCAGATGGAGGAATTTTATTGCTTACATTATCAGAAACTGAATGTAATATGTGGCTAGGTTTGCATGGCTTTGCAGACAATTTTAAAGGTGATCCATTACTTAATAATTGTTGTTGATTTAACTCTAGTGGTTAAAAAGGATCATTATGAATGCTTGGTTTATTTTTCGAATAAAAGATATGTGCACCTATAATAATAAAGTTAAATTAGCTTAATTTGTTTTGAAGATTATAATATAATATATATATCTTCAGAATTATATAGGCGAATTATCTCTTGATAGATGATTTCTGTAGACTATGATAAATTAAATTATTTTTTTAATCTGGCGAAATTGTTCTCTGCTTGTTTTTAAAGCAATTCACTAATTTTTTTTTGTTTCTTGTCTAATACTTAAATAGTCTCCTTGTAAAAAAATCTGTGCAGCATGACAATGTTTGTATACATTATAAAATGGGCTATTTCATATATAGTCTAAGCATAATAGGCATTCACCAGTAACAATGTTCATAATATAAAACCTATCTCGAATCTCAACTTCATAGTTTTTAACTAGCTGCCTCATCATTGGCTGGAAATAATTAACATGTTCTTTCTCTATTTTAATAGATTCATCATTATCAAAAGAGTCAATTATAATATCTGATTTATAGAGTTTTTTAATATAATAGTAATTTGAATGACTAGATTGTTTAACTAAACCTATCAGAAAATATAGTCTTCTATGGTTTAAACATTGGTTCATAGTAGGTGTTATTTTACTAGATTCATTTTGCTATAATATAAATTAATAAATTATATCAATGTTATAAATATTTAAGTTCACAAAATAAAAATTATATAATAGGTACATAACAAAACTATACTTAAAGTCTATATATTATATACACTTTAAGTATAGTTTTGCTATATACTTATCCATATATTAATAGTATAAAATTATTACCTGCTCAATTAATTGTGTATTAAAAAGAGTAACCAATTCAGCTTTATAAATATTTTTATTGGATCCTTCAGGATGAAGATTTTCACATAGTAATTTTATTCTATAAAGTCATTCAATAAATGTAACAACTGTTTGCTTTTCTGATAATTGTGATTCAATTATTTGATTTATTCTTTCAGTAAAATTATTAGTAGTTAATGGATTTCGTCTATTAGAGTTAAGAGGAAGGTGACCAGCATCAATAAATTGCATTTGTTACTCATTACACATCTAATTATTTTCTAAGTCTTTAATAAATAATAGCTTTTGATTTGAATTAAGTAAAAGTAATTTAATAAAGTTCTTATAATGAGAAGCTATTTCAAATACATTTTCTTTAGTGCGACAATGGCCCACAAATTTAAATCCTAATGCAATCTGGTATCTTAAAATTAATATTTAAATATTAAAAAAAAATTAAAATATAAATTACATAAATATTAAAGAAAATCCTAATTTAACTCAAATTAAAGTTATCCAGGCTATTATCAATACTATTAATTTTATAGCTTATTGAATAATTTTAACTAAGGTTAAAATAAAATATAATAGTAAAGTTTAAAGACTAACCTAAATGAATATGGAATCTTCCATGTTTTTAAATTTTTTCCAAATAATTGCATAATGTAAAATCAACAAAGAATGGTTCTACATACGATGCCTTCTACTCTAAGTTTAGATGGCTGATGTTTATCTATCATTACAAATAGATTCCATGGTTCATTAGACTTATACTCATGAACTTTTTGAAACCCTTTTTTATTTGGAAGATCTTCATAATGCTACAAATGCTTGCATGTTGAATCAATATAGGGTATATTATTTTTAATAGCTATCATGGCTAATCTTATTGTCTAGTTGTTTTTCTTATTACTTAAACCTAATTATAATAGTTTAATTAATATTAATATTTAATATTAATATTTATACTATAGTATAAATAATACATTTAAATTTTGCACTTTTTTATTTTTTTATTTTTTTATTTATTTTATTTTATTTTTTTTATTTTTTTTTAATTTTTTTTTATTTTTCTTTTCTCATTTTTTTGTTTGTTCTTTTATTTTTATTCACAAAATTTATATTAAAAATATACATACCAAAAGCTAATGGTGTTCCATGTCCACTATCATTTTCAACAACCATAGTTAAAACAGATGCATGATCAATATTAAGGTCATATTTTCTATCAATTTAAAACTGTCCAAATTTTTGACCATTTCTTAGGCAAAGTTTATCAGATACAGTTAGTTGATAGTAATGTTCAGAAGAGTCTTCAAGTTTTGACAAATCTGGTTGCTGATAATATAAAACATATCTTTTTGGTTTTAACTCTTCTTCAATTAAATAATATAGTATAGTCCATAGACCTGAATAGTCTTTTAAGCATCTATCTTCATGAACAATAAATCATTTTAATTTTGAATTGCTACAAATCTCACGGCTATTTAACAATATATCATTTAATTCCTCTTCACTAGCACCATTAAATGAAACCAGTAACTTTCCTTTAATTCCTTTTATTATTCTGTGATCTGTATGCCAGCTAATAATAATTTTATCCCGAACCTCTTGTGTTAAATTAATTCTTGTTATTTTTGGAACAACTGTGCTTATAATATTAGATGGAAGGTGAGTACTCTCTATTTTTATTCTAAGTGAATGGCTTGAATTAAGGTAAGATAATCGTGAAAATGAATATACATATACAGAAAAGCAATGCATATCATTTCTTTTTGTAAATTATTATGTAGACCATAGTTCGAACAATTAGGCAAACATTCTCCTATCTCTCCACATTTATACTGACAATTATTTTCATCACCTGAACAATACAAAATCCATGACCAACAAAGTTTATTTTTCTTAAGACCAGTTTGAATTTCTTCTAAAATTCATAACCCTTGGTTGTAAGTTTTATAATATCATCAATATGATTGGTTGACTTCTTATTTCTATTAACCTCCCACTCTATAAAATCAGCATCACTTTCAACATGACAAAGTGTAAGTAATTCTTGTTTTATTAGTTGAGATGTTTTCAAATGGCTCTGAGACTTTAATCGGGTGTTTTTTAAAAGAGGATATTGTAATATATATAATTTGGCTACATGCCCAAAGGGAACAAAAACTGTATTATCTTCATTAAAAGTTATTTGATTTTCTAAATTTTCCAGAGTTATCATTACAATTATTGTTTGGCTAACTTATATGATGGTGTAAGTAACTGTATAAGTGTAGTGAATAGTATAACATAGCAGCAGTAGAAGTGACAGTATAAGTGTAACAGCAGTATAAGCAACAGTATAAGCATAGCAGCAGTATAAGTGACAGTATAAGCATAGTGGCAGTGTAAGCAATAGTGTAAGCGATAGTATAATCGACAGTGTAAGCAATAGTGTAATCAATAGTATAAGCAACAGTGTAAGCAACAGTGTAAGCAACAGTGTAAGTGACAGTGTAATGACAACATAGATGACAGTGTAAAGACAAAGTAAGTAACAGTGTAAAGACAATGTAAGTGACAGTATAAACGATGTGTTCAGCAACGCAATATTATAAAAAATGCTCTTGATGGTAAATTTTTACTTGGTTCAACATTTATTTAAAGAGAAAAAAATTTTTTTTTTATTTATATGCAAATCGATTGATTGAATATTATTATACTATGCAAGGTACTGGTGTGCTGCATTTTTTTGCATTTTAAAAAAAAAGTATATTATGTATCACACCATAGATAAATAGTACTTTAAAAATTGATCTAATTTATTTGTCACGTGCGGGTACCTGGGTTCCCTGCACAGTGCCAAAAATGCATCAAGAACGCCACTTAAATTCAGGGGTAATTTGAGCATATCAAAAAAATAACCTCAGGGGTATCAAAATTGAAACTTTTGCGTCCGGAGACTTTTCCTTTTTATATGGGATGACGATTAAATTTGTGTAACGATGTCTCGTAGGTCATTTTCAAATTTTTGGTAGTACAAAACTGATTGAATCAATAAGTACGGCAAAATATTTATCCGCTATGTTGTTCTTTTTGAGCCAAATTTAGCAAAAAGATTCAAACTTCCTATTACCCCACTTTAATACTAACTTCCATCATTTGTCGGATTATACCAAAATCGTTAATTTCATCTAATCTTTCACCCATAGAAATTCCAGCATTGGGAATTAAGTAGAGTTAACACCTCACTATGTTTTATATCCGGATCGATCCAGATATAAAATAAATCCGGATTTAAATTACTATGTTTTACTATAATTTTATAACAAAATATCAATCCGGACATATTTATATCCGGATTGAAGTATTAACTCTAGAATTAAGCAATCAATAAGCAACAGGGTATAAAATTTATATTCAAACTTCACGTCTTATAAATTAATATTTAGCGAAAACCTAATTTTTGGTCTGGGGGACCCCGGAATCCCATTTTCAAGGCAAAGACCCCATATATTGATAAAACTAGAAAAATATAAATAAGCTTAATTATAGTTTTAAGTATTTATATTGAATACAAATTGTAATTTATACAAAATATATATAATATTATAAAAATTTAGTTAATCAATAAATACAAATATATGTATATTAGTTTGTATTGTTATCACGTAACCGGGTATATACCCACCAGGTACGTACAAATAGAAATTCTCTTTTAACTTTAATTAAATAAAATTAATGCGATATGTTAATCAATAAATACATATTAGTTTGTATTGTTATCACGTAACCGGGTAAATACCCACCAGGTACAAATAGAAATTCTCTTTTTACTTTAATTAATTAAAATTAATGCGATATTAAATATTAAAAATAGAATTTTTTATATAACCATAATGTAAATAGCGTAAAAATAGCAATTCTATTAAAATTATCAAATTTCATAACCGGATTTTAAAACTTTTTAGTTATATTTTATTTTATTAATTAAATAGATTTAACCAAAATATCTTAATTATTTATATTTTTTTTTTTAAATTTAAAATCTATAGATTTTTGAAACCCAAATATTAAAGTTTTAAATCCAAACTTTTATTATTCTAAATTTAATACATCCTATAAGATTTAAAAATTATACACTATCTACAGCACTCATTGGAGGATTACTTACAACATTTTCAGAAGATTTTTGAGAATTATCCTTTTTTCTTCCAATATAATCCCTAAGTGCATGAAGCCCGTATACCAAAAAATAAAATGCGATAAAGAGAATAAAAAGGCCGACATAACGAAGTGTTACATTTGCAGGAGAACCATCATACCAATTTAGGAAATTATATACCCAAAATTTATGTGAATCATAAATAAGAAAAGCTTCAAACATGAAAAGTATTTGAATAGGTATTGTTATAAATATGAATGATAGTTTCATTAATTGACGATTTAAAAACAATTCAATTAGCATGGTCACAAACTCCACACCGTGAACAGAAACATTTAGTAACCAGATGAACCATGGATTATTTGCATGAATAAAGTCACTTGAAAGTAAGCTCCAGTAGACAAAAACAATAAGAATGCTATTTATTAAATTAAATATAATTAAATATGAATAATTTATGAAGATAGGAATTTTAAAAAATTACGAAATTAAGAATAAAGCGACTTACTGATAATGTACTAGTGTGTGATAAAGGATCCAAAATATAAAATTAGATAAATTTGAAAATTTCTCAAGAGAGTTTGATCTGACTGAATAGTATAATGCAGTCTATAATTAAGATTATGAACGATAATTAATGAATATTAATGAATATTAATGAATATTCATAATAAAAATATGTCATCAAAAATAAATATTTGTTTACCGTAAAGTAAAGGGTCTGACCGACATAGCTTAAATTGGTAAAATAGCATAAATAGCATTCCAAATTATTACTGATACCGTATTGTGCTAGACTATGTGAATATAATCCATAATCTAATAGCTCTCCAATAAGAATTATCCAAGAATAAACAGTTACCAAGGCACGAAAAATTTTCAATGTTCTAGAACTTACGAACCAAGAAGTAACAGTCAAGTTTGGATCAAACTCTCCCCAATGGAAAAAAATCATTTTGAATTTTATAAGAGCCAAGAAGTTAAAAGCAATATATATATAATTTATCAATGGGTTTTATCAATATTACGAATATAGGCAGTAAGAACTGATGTAAAACAAAAGTAAACAATCCATCATTGAAACGATGTTACACTTGCAAATTAT